CTAAGTGGAAATTACATGTGCTAATAGATTAAAAATCCCCATTTCATAAATAAAATGCCATGTTTAATATTTCACAAATCAGAATTTTTTAATTAATTAATATATTTAAAAATTAATCTAATAAATAATAATTTCAAACCCTAATTTATTCATTTTCTACCCCCACACACACACTCTCTAAACTAGCGAAACACTTTGCTATCTCACCTATCAACAACTCTCTCCATCGCCTCACTGAAAACCTCTCAACCTTAGAGCACCGACGCTGAAGTGAAGCCACTACTAGCCGTCGAAGTGAAGCAGTGTCATGTCTACCTCACATTCCTCCCTCTCCTCGAAGCCACTCAAAGTGAATCATGACTATCGTCGCACCGCCATCACGACGTGTATATGGATGTGAGAGACGATGTGACGTGGTACTGTGTGTGTTGTGATTGTGTAGTGTTGTGGGCTCTATGTGGTGGTGGCGGTATTGAGCTGGTGTGGTGCCGTGGGATGTGGGAAAGGTGGTGGTGTGTGTTGTGGTGTTGTTTAAGGGCGGTGGTTGGGTGTGTTGTTGTGCGATGGTGTGGTGGTATTGGCTTCTGACTGGTTGTTGTAAGATAGTGGGTGGCTTTGTGGTAGCAGATATGATGGTTTGGTAGTGTTTGGCGAATTTGGTGATTTGATGGTGCGGATCGTGGCTATAGCGGTGAAGATCGTGGTGTTGATTTTTTCTTGGTTGTTGGATGCGGTGCAGGCAATGGCGGCATGGTGTTGGTGGCAGTAGCGTCGACGTCAGTCGAGTGGATCAATAGTATCTGTGACCAGTAAATTGCTTGACTCGATTGTGGTAACGATGGTAGTTGTGGTGATCGTGGCAATTTGATTGATTTTGTGACAGATAATTGGACCCGTGACCAAAAAATTGTGATTGTGACTCCCAATTGTAACTCACAATCTGGGAGTCACAGTTGGTCATGGAGGTGGTTGTGGTGGTCATGACGATTTGGTTGATTTGTGACTCACAATTAGATACGTGACCTGAAAATTGTGACTGTGACTCATAATTGGATACGTGACCTAAAAATTGTGATTGTGAATCGTAAATGTTGGTGGTGGTCACAAATTATTTGGTTGACTGTGACCATTAAAATGGTTAATCTGTGATAAATAAATAATATGTTACCAATGAAAAATATAAATTGTGATAAAAAAATAATGCGTGACATTAAAAATTGTTAATCTGTGATCGATAATTTTATAGTTTGTGACTGTATAAGAAGTTGTGACTTGTAATATTTGTGATTTGTGACCCATAAATAAATCGTGACTTATAAATTTTTCGATTTGTGACTGATAAACAAATTGTGACTTATAAATTTTTTAAATTGTGATCGTAATATAATTTGTGACATAAAATTTCGGATTTGTGACCAAAAAATAATAAGTGACGAATTAAATTGTTAATTTGTAACCAACTTATATAAATATGTAACTTAATATATTTAATTACTAAAATAATTAATTAATTAATTAAATGATAAGTAATTTTTAATAAAAATTTGATTTTTGAAATTTGAAACTTGTTTTCTTGTTTTCTAAATGTGGCATAATTAATCTCATGAAATTTTCCCTTAACCTAATTTGTTCAAGAGTAATGGGCCTAATTTCCTCATTTAATTTTTAATTTGGACTTCAAATATAATGCAATCTACTTCGAAGAACCAAGCCCAAAGAGAAACAAGCAAATAACTGAATTAAGGGTAATTGGCACAAAACGTCCCTACCTTTTATTTTTTGATATTTTTGCCCCTATTTCAACATTTCGTTGCGCTGAAGGTCCTTTTCACTCTTTTGGAACGTAAGATGATAATTATACCCTCTTACTTAAGACAAAAAAAAAGAGAAAAATTCAGAACAAATTGCAACCCTACGCCTAATCCTACCCATCACAACTAAGATTTTAGAGCCACCACTTATGGACCACCAAAATTGTACCCTCTGGTCACCTTGGGCACGGAACCAACATACCATCTTGAAGCCCACACTTCCCTCTTTGTAACCTACCCAAGATCCGGCCATAACTCCAATCAATTTGGCTAAAAATTCAAACTAAAATAGGTTACCTATGCAACAAACAATGGCCAGAATTTTCACATCCAGCAACACCCATGCCTTGCACAATCGTCATTTTGGCGGAACTAACAAAACACCTTAAAGCCCGGACTTCCCTTTTTGTAACCCAGCCCAAGATCCGGCCATAACTCCTGTCAATTTACCTGAAAATTCAAGCCAAAATAGGTTACTTACGCAACAAACAATGGTCGGAATCTTCACTTCCGACGACACCCATGCCCTACACAACCTCCATATCAATTCTACACACTAAAACATCCCTATCCATGGTCTCAAACATCATTTAATGCACACAATCAAACCCAGCCGGCTGAACTTCGAACATAGTTGCTGTGCAACTTTCAAGCGATTTTTTTTATGCCAGTGGTGGGACCCATGATCGCGAACCACCATCTGAGGTATCTACACTTCATTGCGCATCCAATGAGCATATGGGTCTTCCCCATTGTCGCCTAGACATGGTTATTCATTCAGAAATTGAGAAATAAAATCTAGGAAAAATTGCAACAGAAGCCCCAAACCTTTGAAACATTGGCAGACTTTCCCTAAATCTTTGATTTGTTGCAATCGTCACCCCTAACCTTTCCAAACGTTGCAGGTGAAGTCCTTTTGGACGGTTTCCATCCATAATTCTGTTAGTTGATCAAAAATTTAACTTTGACCACATTTTTAATATTTTAAACAGCGGTAAAATAGTAAATTTTCATTTGTCACATTATATAGTAATTAAACTAGAAAATGAAAAATAAAAAAAACCAACCCGTCTTCTTCCTCCCCCCCAACCCCCACCCCTAATCCAAATCCAAAATATGTTGACATTTGTTTTTTCACGCCCTGGAATGAGTTTCTGTGTGCGGGTCTGGACTGAATTTGAATATATATTTTATTTTCCTTCTGTTTTCCCATTGTGCGATGGGCTTCTTGCAAAGGCTGCAGAGGGAGAAGGGCATGGCAGAATTCTTGGAGGAGGTGGGTAGGGTTGAGCAATTCTTGAATGACCCGTGTTTTATTAAGGTGGGGGAGAATGCGATGGTTCAGGTCATGGTATGGAAGGTGGTTGTCATTCCTACCCCGCCTCCGTCGCTGCCTAAATTTCAAGTCGTGGGGGTTGGATGTGGAGATGATAAGGAGTGGGGAGAGGAATCGGCGTCGGCCCAGGTGAAAAGGATAGCTTTGCAAAAGCAAGCTGATGTGGCGTCAATGGTGGACGAGGATTGTGCGGGAAAATTGCAGCAGAAGGTTCAGACGGTGGAACGTACAAGAAAGTGGTTGCTGAGGGGTCGACATCGGGTTGTTGTGGCGGTGGCGGAGGGTGGTTGTGGTCGTTGTGGTGGTGGTGTGGATTTTGGATTTGGATGGGGATGGGGGTGGAGGTGGAGAAGAGGAAGAAGACGGGTTGTTTTTTTATTTTCTAATTAATTACTATATAATGTGATAAATAAATTTACTCTTTTACCCCTGTTTAAAATATTAAAAATGTGGTCAAAATTAAATTTTTGATTAACTAACGGAATTATGTATGGAACCCGTCCAAAAGGGCTTCACCTGCAATGTTTGGAAAGGTTAGGAGTGACGGTTGCAACAAATCAAAGATTTGAAAAAAGTCTGTCAATATTTCAAAGATTTGGGGTTTCTGCTACCATTTTCCCTAAAATCTAACATGCATGAAGGAGAATTTGTACCATTAGAATGAAATTAATGGAAGTCCATTGGGTGGTATGTGTAGAGGGGAGTGAGGGTTTTCCGGTGGTATAGAGATCCGATGGTATGGACGGTGGTTGGTTGAAATTTTTTGGCTTGAAAGGTGGTAGTGGAGGGGGGAGGAAGAGGAGAAAATGTTTTTTTTTTGTTATTTTCAATATTTTAAGTATCGGGGATTCATTTGCACTTTTTTCAAAGTTTAGGAGTAGGGTTGCAATTTGTTCTGAATTTTTCTTTTTTCTTTTTTTGTTTTAAATAAGAGGGTATAATTGTCATTTTACGTTCCAAAACAGTAAAAATGACTTTCAGCCCAACGAAAGGTTGAAATCAGGGCAAAAATGTCAAAAAATGAAAGGTATGGACGTTTTCCACAATAACTTTGAAAGGTTGGGACGTTTTGTGCCAATTACCCTTGAATTAACACACTATAAAAATCCAAAATAATTTATAAAAAATATAAAAATCAATTATCATTTCACATCAGATCGATGTAATGAAAGTGAAGTAATTACAGTAATAAAGGAACGATATGAATGATCAATCCATTTCATAGCAGTTTCTCACAAAATTGCCCTGTGTAGTTAATTACAGCTGAAAATGACCTGAAAAAAATTGTTAATTAATCGTGGGCAATTTGCAGTTGTTTAACTGTTAACAGCATTGGCCAGTTTTTACATCTAACACGTGCCATTATTTTCCCACCAAATTAGCCATCCAAGCTACACTTTTCCTAGGATCTACAGGTATATATAAAAAATTTTGTCACTTTATTCTTCTACATCATTGCGATGATGCAATTAACATATCACGCAGGTGACGAAACAGTGAATATGATTAAATATTTTCTTTCAGATTCACGCACTTTCCTTTTTGGGTCACCATCTGCTTACAATCCACTGAATAAGTAGAAAAATTTCTTAATCAAAATCAAGAATCAAGGATTGACGTTATCGAATGATGTCACAGCTACTCTGCTTCTAAAAAAAGCTTATTATAATCAAATTCTGACTTACGTAATTATAATTAAAGTTTGGTTAAGAATTAACCGCCCCATATAGCCATTAAATACCTAGTTACTAATTCATATTCCTTAGCATTTGACGATTTTTCTCAATTCAAATTTTCCACTCATTGTATATATAAATATAGGGCAGTAGCTAGTAATGTAATGAGTAAAAACTATGGATAAGAATTCAAAAGACAGGTTCATGGAAGGCAAAGAGGGTGGCGGAGGTGGTGGTGGAGAAGTGAAATACCGGGGAGTTAGGCGGCGGCCTTGGGGCAAATTCGCGGCGGAGATTCGGGATTCCAATAACCATGGAAAACGATTGTGGCTGGGGACATTTGTCACTGCAGAAGAAGCTGCAAGAGCATATGATCGTGCTGCTTATACAATGAGAGGTTCATTTGCAGTTCTTAACTTCCCCCATGAATATCCTTCTTCATCGACTTGTTCTTCATCGAATGTGGAGAAAAATAATGGGATCCCAAAAGAAGTGTTCGAATTCGAGTACTTTGATGACAAGTTGTTGGAGGATCTTCTTGAGTTCGCTGAGAAGACGACTGGAAAATAGTCCATCACCCCCCCCCCCCCCCCCCCCCCCCCCCCCCCCCCCCCCCCCCCCCTCC